GTCTTTGCACATTTCATTATAATACTTTACTTTGACTTCTTGAGCCACTCTCTGAAATCTGTTTAGCTCATTTACTTTATCATTTCTTCTTTTTGCTTCAGCTATTATACATTCAAGAGCAACTTTCAGAGTGTTTTCTGACATCCATTTTGTCTTTTCTTTCTTTCCTGTCTTTTTAATGACCTTTGTTACCTTCATGTATGAAATATTTGATGTTATCCCATAGCTAATCTGGTTTTCAGTCATTACTATTCAATGCATTAAATATATTCTTGAGGTGCTCTCTAAATTCAGATAGGATATACTCAAGGTTCTATTTTGGCTCTTGTGGACTACTTCTAATTTTCTTCAACTTCAACTTGAACTTGCATATGCACAAGTGATGGTATGGTCTGCAGTCAGCGCCTGGCCTTGTTCTGACTCTTGATATTGAGCTTTTCTATCATCTCTTTGCACAGATATTATTGATTTGATTTCTGTATATTCCATCTGTTAAGGTGTATGTGTATCATCACCATTTTTGCGGCTGAGAACAGTATTTGCAATGAATAAGTCATTGGTCTTGCAAAATTCTATTATATAATCTCTGGCTATTTGTAATATTATTTCCGTACAAATTACATGTTTATATATCATATGCCCATCAATACAATTTCATAATTACTTGCTTTATTCAGTTGTCTTTTAAATCAAATAGGAGAAAAAGAGAGTTACAAACAAAAATAGGTTTATACTGTCTTTCATATTGACCTTTGTCATTACTTTTATTGATGTTTTTTATGTCTTAAAGAGTCCTAGTGTTGCAGTGGTTAAAGTGCTCAGTTGCTATCTAAAACAGAGAAATATGTGGCAGTCTGTTTCTCAGAAACAGACTGCCACATATTTAGATTTAAAAAGATTTACAGCCTTGAAAACTCTATTGGGGCAGTTATACTTTGCCCTATAGAGTTGCTGTGAGTTAGAACTGACCTGATGGCCTTGGATGCTTTTTTTTTTTGTATATAGTTACTTTTATTGATGTTTTAAATTTGTTACTATGAATCTGAGTTACCGTGTAGTGTGCAGTGTGCTTTCCTTGCAGCCTGAAAGAGCTTTTCTTGAAGACAAGGTGTATTAGCAATAATTTCTAATGATAAAATTTTCTGATTTTTGTCTGGGAATGTCTTAATTTCTCTTTCATTTTTGAAGGATATAGAATTTGGGGTTGACAGTCTTTTTCTTTCAGCACTTTGAATATGCCATTTCACAGCTTTTTGGCCTCTATGGTTTCAGATAAGAAATCAAGTGTTAATCTTATTGAGGATCCTTGTACGTAATGAGTCACTTCTCTCTTGTTGCTTTCTCGAATCTCTCTTTGTCTTTCAGCAGTTTGATTATGATGTGTCTAGGTGTGACTCTGTTTGATTGTATTTTATTTGGAGTTTCTTGAGTATTTTGGATGTGTGAATTAATGTTTCTCATCAAATTTGGAAAGCTTTGGGGAAGTTTTCAGTCATTATTCTTCAACTTATTTTCTGCCCGTTTTTCTTTGTCCTCTTATTCTGGGACTATCATTATACTTGGGAGCTCTGGTAGCATAGTGCTTAAGGCACTTGACTGCTAACCAGAAGGCTGGCGGTTCAAACCCACCAGCCACTCCTTGGAAGGAAG